TGCAGTCTAATTGCAGCTCAAATAAAGCAGCTACAGTTTCACTTTGAGACATGCTTTTGGCTATTTTTTCCTTTCTTAGGAAAGCAAAGTCTATGCTTTAATAGTATGAGGCTTTTGATAAAACCATCTTAAACAAATGTACCCATGCAAATAAGGTATTTCCAAAGAAGTTCAGGAGGAGAGATGGTATCGGTATTGGCATCGGCATCGGTATCGGTATCGGCAGATACTCAAAGTTGAAGTATCGGTATCGGTATCGGAAATCAAAAAGAGGTATCAGTCCATCCCTAATATATATATATAAACAGCATTTTGACACATTTTAATTTGTCACAAGTCTGTTTGTTGTGTAGGCCACTGACCCAGGTCTGTAGAAGTAGGCTACATGGGAAACTGCAGCAAAAATATTACAGGTAATGGTAGGATTTATATATTTAAGGTTTAAATTAAAGGTACATACATGTTTGCTTCCCAAAGCATAAGGACTCATAAATGTCATCATGACCCATGGAGCTAAATTGAGCAGGATTCGTGGATTCTTTCATTTTAACCAATCCTTAGTGTAAAAGAATGAAAGCATTTAGTATTTCACCAAAGAGGGGTCAAAAATCCAGTATTTCTTTCAACAGAACCATCCTGGCGCCTCTTTGGGAACATCCAGCTGAAACGTTTGTTCCCTTTCATGGCCTTAAAGTGCATTAGAGCAGGTGAACAAACCCTTTCATCTCACACAGTTGGAAGGATGCACCGAAAACATGCAGATACTGTACTTTACCTTTGTGCTACACGATGCAAACCGCGGACATGGTCGCAGTGTGGATCATTCGTGGAGCCAAACTTTTTTCCAACCTGAGGATGAGGATGCGAGCGACCCCGCGTGGGCGCGCAGCTCAGAATTCGCCCTGCACGCGCTCCCAGTGAGCCGGAGTCGGAAAAATGGTGGCCAGTGCTCGAGTACAGAAGCTCCTCCGACGGTACAAACTAGCGATCGCGGCCGCGTTAACTATCCTCCTGATCCAAGGGCTTGTAGTATGGAGTCTGAGAAGTCTGGAAGAAGGCGAGGCGGAGGTGAGCAACACTCTCTGCCGCTATTTCTGCCGTGACAGTGTTGTCGCTGGGTTTTTTTTTAATTGCAGAGCTAGCCGTTAGCGCTTAGCTTAGCTCCCAGTGTGTTATTATAGAGAGAGACGCTAGCTGGTGTTAGCCGTTAGCACTTGGAGAAGAGCGGCGCTCCGAAACATTTCAGTCCGACCAGACCAACCCTGTCCTGCATGTCTGTCACTGACCACAACAGCCGAGACAAAATCCACCGGGCTACATGTTCACACCTAAGCTGTTACTGGTGCTGATAGGATTAGTTGACTGGTTGTTAACTTGTTGGAGACGCAGAAGTGGTGATTATCACTGTTTCATTTGGACAAAATGTGATGGAGTAAGAAGCTGCACATCCAAGAGGAACAGGATGTGTGTGAAGTAATACAACTTTGTGAAAACACTTATTGAACCCAAAATAGTTCGTCAGTTTAAGCTGGATTGTCTCATTTAGAAATCCAGGATCAATTCTGCTTTATTTGTTTATTTATTTATTACTGTGTTCTTCTTATTTATATCCACCAGTGGCCTTTAACAGTGTGGCTCTAATGTCTGTGTGACCTTCACTTAGCTTTGAATCATGCCAAAACACCCAGGGAGCACATCCCAGCTGTAAAGGCTAAAGTTAAACAGAGAGCTGCCTCCACTACATACCACTGAAACAATTTATTTAACAGTTGCCAAGTCCTCAGAGGGAATTTTATCTCTGCGTCTCCCTCGCACACCTGGAGAGCACTACCTCGAGGCAGTGCCTGTTCCAGTTCTGCCTCTAAGTAAGGTGAGGTTGAGCCGCTAACAGATGTGACCTGTGAACGACTACAGGATTCATTTTTGAGGCACACCAATGCTGATGGAGCTGCAGGAATGCGAGCTGAAACCCGAGGCGGGAGCTGCCCCTGTATCGTGATGTGACAAGCGTGGTGTATAATATCCCTCTCAACGTGGAGAGGCTGAGGATCTGCGCCCTGGAGGGTTTGAGGCGGGCAGCAGATGTACAGTGGCTTAAGTGGGGAAAAGATGTTTGACCCTTGCCTCAGAGAGAGCGATTATATTCTTTAGACGGCAGCCTCCCTGGAAATTATTTGTTGCGAACAAAAGGCAATGAGTGAACTCAAATTATTGTTCTCAAGTGCCTGGCCCTTTTTTATTCAGTTGCTATAACTGATGCCAGCCTAAATTAGGTAATCCATTTCCGTTAACTGTGACGTTGCGACAGTTGAAACTGGGCAGGAAATGTGACATATGATTCATCATGCTGCAGAAGTGATTTTAAGTGTCATTTTGATTCGTATCACCTGTTCACATTACTAGCCTCCAGGCTTTCTGCTGCCTCATCAGGTGCATTCAGGCTTAAACATGCCTCAGCACAGATACAGAGAAATGTCTGGAGGGTGGTGCGGTTAACTGTAGCTCATCTGGGACTATGAAGGAGAAGAAGCACAGACCTTTAAAATGTCAACTGCACACAGTACTTGCTGTCCAGTGGCTCAGACAAAATCATATTTGTTGTCAGGAAGAGGATGTGTAGTAGGATTTTGTCCTAACATGGGTAACATACCAAACTAAGAAACCACATAGATCATTTACTTTAGTATTAATCACATTTCCAATTAGTTTTTTTTTTTAATTCATTCCCTGCTTCAGAAATGTGACACTGCTGCTCAGCACACATGCCATTCGGATATGCAACTGTGTTGGCAGACATCTATGCAAATGTCAGCATGAGGTCTTTGCGTGTTTGCAGACTCACAGATGCAGAATCAAATTTCAGACTTGGGAATGCATATTAATCGTCATTTCACCTCTGAACAGTTCCTCCACGCTCAGCGATCTCCACGTTACCGTGCATCTGCTCTAATCAGCGGCTTGCTGTGCTTGTGTGAACACAGTCACACGTGTTATATTAAAGCCCTCACGCGCAAGAGTGAGAGGATTGTGGAGACAGAAGAGGACGACTCTGTCATCCTTGTGTCACCCTCTGCTTACCCGCGTTCTCCTGCAGAGCTGAGTGCTTGCTGCTGCTGCTTCCCGCTTCAGCAGATGGCAACGCTGATATGGTTTCACTCGACTTTAATTGGAAAGTAAAGAGGCTGCCTAGCTCGCCTTTGAATCAATACATTTTTGACATGATGGTGTTAATTAAAAGCTGTGAAAACGACTGATAAGGAAAATTGAAACGTTAGCCCCTGCTGCATGCTTGGCTTCTGCATGAGAACATTTCCCCTGGCAGCCGCAAACTAAAGAGTTTCCTTATGGATGTTAGCTGGCAAAATGCGTAGCGATCCTCGTGTTTTTAATAATTTTACACCACAAAAAACATGTACTGCCTGCCTTATTTGATGTTATGAACAAAAGTTTCTATCATCACTTCCAAAAATGTAAACAGCTTTAGTGCTACAGTTTGCATTTGAGTATAAAGTCAGAATAGACATTGCATTAAAGTAAAATAATGTTCATCAGAACTACAGAGGCAACGCTCCTGCAAACTGTTGTGCTATTATTAGTGCTGTTTTCTTTTTTTTTTAGCAGACCTTTCAAAACAAGATTGTGTTTACATGCACAAGAAATGCAAGTTATTTTTAGAAATCGCATTAAGACAGACACCTGAAAACTCATTTACATGCACTGCAGTGATGTGTCGGTGTAAACCAAATGTTTACATGCAGTTGCTCAGCAAACAGTTTTTTTTCCCCCATCACTTATTTCCACTTACTAAGTTTATGTGCATTTGCAGTTGAACTCTGAGTTTGGTTGTTTTAGCTAAAAGAGAGACGCTGTCACATTGACACTTCTACATGTGGAGTATTTCCCAACCAAGTGCAACATAAACTACATGGTTAAGAGACTGGATTTCTTCAGCAGAAACCAAGCTGAGCAACCTGAGTGTCTCTTTCACCCCGACTGAATGAGTCAAGGCTTCTTGTTCAGGTGACATGCGGGATGTCAGATTTCTGCAGAAAGATAACCAGCTTGCTTAAGTGCACTCCTTGAAAGCGAGTTGCACTGACTGGTACGTTACTGCGCTTCACAATGCGTCTTACTGTAATGGGTTTGGGAGAGCAGTTGGCAATCAGTAACTGAGTGTGCTGTATTGGTTGGCAGCTGGTGTATTGGCCGTGCACTATCTGGCTCCTCGTCCTACCACGCAGTCCTTCTTCTGTTCCCACCATCTCTGGGCTGTCGGCATGCCAGCGGTGTGAGGCGAGCAAACCCACATTCTGCCATATCGTCTGACAGAGGCGGAGAGCTCTCAGCCCACTCACTGTTCCTCTTCCTCTTCTCCAAGTGCATATTTTGAAGGGCCTTTTGTGTGATCCAGTAATCTAGTGTGCCAAAGCTATGATGCTGTTTGGCTGGAAGATTTAAAAACAACTTAAATTCAGTTTTTGTTTTTTTTTCCAAAGCCTGCTTTCCATTTTCGGAGGTGTGATTTGTACTCCAGTGAAACTCATTCTCCCTGTGCTCCTGCTTTGAAACCAAATGTTATGCTTGAGAAACCTGGTTTGGAAGAAACCCAGATTTGTGTGATGGTGCCTCATAATTTGGTCCTCCTAATAGTATAGTACCTTTGTATACAAAAGCACCAACATCAAACCAACGTTTACGTACATTTTAGATGGTGGCACAATACTCAGACTGATGTATACTTGAAATCGTGACACGGTTTTCCTGCTGGGGAGAGAACACGGCTCAGCATGTCGCTTGGAGCGGATTTGCCATTATATTGCCCATTTTCACTCAAGCAATTTATGTGAAAAATACTTTATGATCTTGAAGTTTAGGGATGTTACAGCCAGAGATTCCAACAATGGGATACTTGAATGATTTTATTACACAAGTCGGTAATAGGAGGAGCATGTCTTGACATTTTAAGAAGTCTCGAAAGTCTGGCGCACACTATAATACACGATGTATAGCACAAAGTAAAGATATTATGCTGTTGCTTTTAATCATAGTAATTGCAGTAATCATAACAAGGATTAAAATACAGTTATGCCTGTTTTGAAGTAAAGAGGTTGCATGCATATGTCTGTGTTTGGGCATAAGCAGAGCCTTTTGTACACCTCTCCTGTAGAATCAACACAATTTGACACACTCGTAAGTCTGTAAAAATTAACGCTGTGCAGTTTCAATTTCAGATAACTACTCCCATCACAGAATAACCACAGGTTTATCTTGTCTTTCCACTACAATGCCAACAAATTTACCACATTGCACACACAAACAAACAGGCAAAGGAGGTGCCTGATAAAGATTTGTCTGATGTTTAAGCTCCAGGTCTTTGTGTGTGTGCAGTGTTTGTGAACATGTGACCTACATGTACATGTGTATGCATTTTTTTTCTGCAATTTTTGCCAGAGGGAGCAGACTAAGGTTTGTTGAGGTCTGTGCAGTGAATCACTGGATTCATAATGTGTGACTATCCACTTTTTGCAGATTAGCTCCACAAAAAAGGCAGAGGCGCAGATAAAAATAGCCCAGATGAGAGACATGAAAAAAACAAAAGCTCGTAAACACATCCTTCCCTCTGGGGCCGTCTCTGCTGTTGTCTTAGTGGAGGTCTTTGTTTACCTTATGTCATTTTTGGATTATGAATCAGCGCCTCCTCTTAGTAGTGTTTGTCCAAGATGTTCTTATGGAATGACTGGCAACAGATATGGGTTTAAAAAGCATGACTGTGCTCCTCTCTTTCCTTAGAGGAAAAGCAGACGGTCTAAGCTGCCTGACCACAACAGCCAGGACCCCAAGAGAGACAGTGCACTTTGGGAGAAACAAAATTCTTTGTCTGGGAGGAACAAGGGCAGATGGAGCGCCAGGTTGGAGAGGACGGGGGGCACAGCAGCCAGTGCACTGAGGAGAGGGAACAGCCGCCGAGGAGGAAAGCCCAGCATCAGGCTGAAGACTCCCCAAGCGCGGGGGATGACGGGGGCGGGACTAGACGGCGTGGTCCTCCACGATCTGTCCAGCAGCCGTAACTTCAGTGAGACCCGTGGTGGCACAGATGGGGCAGCTAAGCTACCAGCTGTTGTTATACCAGGGGAGCCAGGCAGCGTGGATGGAGCGCACCAAGCCCCCAACAGTGACTTTGTGCCTAAATGTGATATCATGGGCAAGGACGCACTGTCTGCCCTCCATCGTGCCGGCTCGCAGCAGTGCAGACAGGAGATCGCCAACATCGTGTGCCAGCATCAGGCCGGGCAGCTCATGCCAGACGCACTTCCCCAGTTCTGCCCACAACTCGGTGAGAACACTTTAAAGTTTCCACAGATTTTTGGCCAAAACATTTCTCATTGCCAAATTATCTTGACTATTCCATTAAGTTTCTGGTGGGTTTTGGTTTCTCTGTCTCCTTGCATTACCTAAAAGTAGCTCAGGCAATTTTAACACGTGTCTTTGTCCGTGTTTTGATGCATCAAGTAAAATACTGTTCCAATAAAATTCTAAACACTGAAACTTTTAGACTCCTAGAATAAACAGTAATAAGTAAAGGCATCGTGGATGCCTTCACACAAGTTTCATGTCACCCACACATGTACACCAAATCACAGCAATCTCTGACTTTCTATACGGTAAACTTGTGTATAGCTGTATGATAGTGCAGGGATTGCACTGGGCTGAAACACTACCTACGCCTTTTGCTTGGTTTTGCGTTACCATCAACACAGTTGGCAGCATTTGTGTGTGGGAACCTTTGTTAAATTGCAAGACAAAATTAAAAGAGTAATGAACAACCATGGACGTTCTTTTCTGTCCTAAATACTTCCGACATGAACCTAATATGTTGCACACCAAAATACACAAAACCATTGAATCTTGCCTTTCTCAGCACCCAGCCTTTCTCCTTTTGTGAATCAGTCCTTTGTGTCCTCTCTGTCCAGGTGTGTCACATCCGGTTCAGGCTGTTGGTGAGCTGGACAACAGCCTGTCCAAGGTGGAGAACCCTGTCAGGGTGGCTTTCGTTCTGATGGTCCACGGCCGTGCTGTACGGCAGCTCAAGCGCCTCATCAAAGCCATATACCACCGCGACCACTATTACTACATCCACGTGGACAAGGTAGTCAGACCTGTTGCTAGCATACAGTCTCTACGGTTATATGGACAAGCCGTGTCATGTTACACTGACCAAACAGGATTGTTGCTAATGCTTTGGCTGCTGGATGCACTGGATCTATAGTCTCCTGATTGACTGCTTAATCAATGTGCTCTCATTCAACTTAGTTATATTGATTGGACAACTGCCGGAGTTACTTTCTTAAGGAAAGCGCTAAATCAACAGCCGTCCAGCATTAATCCGTTATTTTTGGCAGTTGAAGGAGCAGATTACCTGAGAACACCCCTACGCTTTAACAGCTTTGACCTCAAACATGCTAGTGAAGACTGCTAGGCCTTACTTCCTTTACATTTACATTTAATGAATGTTTACTTGGACTCAGCCCCCAACTAATTGGCACAAAGACACTATCAAAGAAGTTGTCAGGTGGCACAGCATCGATAACAGTAGGCTAACCTGTCTGTGTTGTATTTCTCAATAGTAGCCTCTCTTTGTTATCATTTTAGTATGAAAAATTAGGCTAAAATTGTTTATTATTTGGAAAATACTAGCTTTTTATGTTTATTTACAATTAATTTAGGTGAATCAGTATAGCAAGTATAGTGCACTAATTGCACTCTTGTGATTTAGTTAAACTAGAGATAACGGGCAGGTTTTATTTCCCCGCCACCAATCGATTATTTGAAGAGTAGATACGATTTCAGTCGACCAAGATTTTCTTTGGTTGGCTAGAGCCCCAGGCTACACTGAGTTCACAAATGCTTTTACCGGTTAGGTCTTCCTGCATTATGAAGGTTAAATTTATCCCATGGGTCTCACAGTGTGGTAAAGGGGATTAGCCTGGATAGAGTAAAGGGTGGTTATTCTTAGGGGCTGGATTTAGTGAAAGAAGAGTCTGCTATCGTGTGCAGCTGGAAGGAAAAAGACAAATGTACGGCTGGTGATATTGAGGTAAAGACCTCAGGTGTGTTGAGCAGAGACGGCAGAGAAGCAGGTGCCTGTTGTCAGTGCACCTGTGTAGCCGGAAAGGTTGTTGAGTCGTGGGGAGCTGCTGTGTTCTTCTGCCAAGGGACGGTGGAGCGGCTCACCGGAGGCAGTGATGAATAAAGAGTCAGTGGGACAGTTGCACCACAGACACAGACCAAACTAACCTCATCCATCTCTGAGGCAAAAAGCCCGTTTGAGAGATGAGGCAGGTCAGGTTGTACTGGACTCTGTCTGCCAGCTCCTCTGCACTCCCCCACGTAAGCTTCTTTTTTCTCTCCTGTCTACAAGTGAGGAGTGAGTTTAGATTAGGATTTTTTTTTCTGCTGGTTCCTAATGTATGAATACAACCAGGGTACACACAGATCCTTGGGAAAGTCCTTCTAACAAAATGTCCGCTCATTTTGTTCTGTCATAAATACACAGGACAGAATCGGCACACGCTGCTTGTGCTTCACCAAACACCATTGGACTTCATGGCCCTGAACAATTAATTTCCAAGTATCTGTTTCTTTTAAACTGCCCATTTATCGCTTCAGAAACTTTAGTAGCCGTGTTTATTTGGCAACAGGCTTCTTGTTAATTAGTAGGTAATTAATCTAATTTAACTCCAAGGGCAGCTCTTGAACCTACAGTTTTTGGCTTCTTACACACTGCTAGACACTTAGAGTGGTCACACATGCTTATTCACACAATTTTACTGTCTGTGCATAAAGCTCGACAACTGTGCAGCGCTTTAACTTCTTTCATCTTATCCTCTGTTCCCTCCTGATGTTTAATCCCCACTCTACGGCTCGCTCCACGCTCTCCTTTAAGCTCAGTTCTTTTATTTCTGTCTTGCTTTCACCTGCAGTCACTCAAAGAAGGAAAAAAAACAGGCAAGAACAACAGACTTCAGATTTTTCTCCCTCTATCATCATAGTGACCCACAGTACAAAGCACCATGTGGCTGCTGTTCTTCTCAGATCAAACTCTCTTTCAACATGAGCCAGCTTTGTGCAATGGTTTTGGCACAGGGGGCAGCTGTAGATCTGCGGGAACCAAGCTAAAACTAGATTATGCTTTCAACGCAGAAACCATTCTTCCACATTTAACTCTTTCATTGACCTTTTGCTTCAAAATCTCCCAGCGATCCGGCTACATGCATCGTGAGGTCCTGCAGTTAGCCCAGCAGTTTCCGAATGTCCGAGCCACTCCCTGGCGGATGGTCACCATCTGGGGAGGAGCCAGCCTTCTGAAAGCCTACCTACGCAGCATGCAGGACCTGCTCTCCATGCTGGACTGGAAATGGGATTATTTCATCAATCTCAGTGCCACAGACTTCCCCACTAGGTTGGTTAGCCATGAAAACACCAAACAATTACACCTGTGGGTCTTTTTACTAGTTGTATTTAAACATTTTCAAGCTACCTAACCTTTACTTAATGTTTTCTCTTGAGTTGCCTCTTTCAAATTTGTCGAGCTGCTCAGAGATGTGCATCTCTTTCTGACCTAACATCACAGTGACTGTTTTACCACAACAGTAGAAAGCAGCAGCTATAGCTTCGTAGGATAAAAAGAGTTCCCTTGTGGCAGCATTAAATTGATTGTTTTGATCACTGAATCGCAGAGCTGGCAGTAAATGGTCTTCTTTTTTTGCTGATCGGTTTTGGCTGGATTTCTGGGGCAGCTTTGAACCCTTATCAAAGCAGCTGCTCGTCTACCTGAACCTTCCCAAGGGGTAATAGCTTGGATGCAAACAGACAAGCCTGCATCTATTAAATCCTGCCCAAAGCAGCTAATTTCAGTCAGCACTATACTCAAGCCAGTGTTTTATTCCAAAGAATCTTTTTTTATCCCTCTGGCCTAACCTTTCCTTCTTTCACTTCTCACCAATATGCCCTCCTGCAGGACCAATGATGAACTGGTGGCGTTCCTGTCGCTGCACAGAGACAAAAACTTCCTCAAGTCTCACGGGAGAGAAAATGCACGGTGAGGACGCCAGCTCTAAGATACACAACCACATGTCATTTGGTTAAATTTAGTCTGACACTTGTTAATATTTTACCCAAACTTCTGAGGATGTTTTTCCAAGCAGTGAATTAATGTTTTGCAGAAATTTGCTGTGGCAGTGCAAAATGATGGATTGACAGAAAGTTACTCGATAAATCCTGCTGAGATAAATCAGCCTGCATCAGCAAACGGCACCACATGCGGTTCATATCAGTGCAGACACACATAATAAAGAGATCCGTTTGAGCTATTCATCTACCGTTATTAAATACAGTGCGGCAGCTCAGACAAAAATAGTGTGTTTGATCATTTACTTTGATGAATGCTGCAAATAGCGCCACATCTTTGCCATCCGTCATCTTCGACTGTCTTCTGTGCTTAAGGTTCATTAAGAAACAAGGCCTTGACCGTCTCTTCCATGAGTGTGACAACCACATGTGGCGTCTTGGCGAGCGCAGCATCCCAGAAGGCTTAGAGGTCTCAGGTGGCTCTGATTGGTTTGCACTCACCCGCCGCTTCGTGGAGTACGTCATCAACTCCCAGGATGACCTGGTGTCAGGGCTGAAGCAGTTCTATTCCTACGCTCTGCTCCCCGCTGAGGTAAGCAAGCCTTAGGCGTTGTGTTTATCTCCCGTTGTTGTGACAGACAGTTTCATATACAAGTCTGTCTCAGGCTCGTCCTCCCCTGCCAAGTCAGAAGAGCCCTAGCAGCGAAGATAATGTAATACTTTAAGCTTTTCGGCACAGTGTGCAGCACAAGTGCCAGATGAGAGGAGGGTTCACTACAGTTTATCTGACTGTGTAGTTTAGTCTCAGAGGAGAGGCTGCGGTCTGTTCGCTGCTATAGAGCTGTGGCCTTTTGTAATTTACAGTCTGTGGTTGGAAACTGTTTATGCGTGTCTTTGACAGTTTACAGTGACTTGATTTTGAAACAACACATCCTTTGTTTTCACGCACAGCTTAGAAGAAATATTGCATTCACCCCTCTCCTTTCTTCCCAGTCCTTCTTCCACACTGTGCTCGGGAACAGTCACATGTGCGACACCCTGGTGGACAATAACCTGCGAGTCACCAACTGGAACCGTAAGCTGGGCTGTAAATGCCAGTATAAACACATTGTTGACTGGTGTGGCTGCTCTCCCAATGATTTTAAACCACAAGACCTCATTCGGATCCAGGTGAGTGCGCCAGAGGAGGGCAGTGTAGCACAACAACTTAGCTGTTTCTCTTTTTTTTTGGTTTATGGATTCCCAGTCTATCATGTTTTATCACCACTGGTCTGATTCAGTCTTCTTGACTTCTTTTCCTTTCTCATTCACAGCAATTGACCCGTCCAACATTTTTTGCTCGTAAGTTTGAGTCAGCAGTGAACCAGGAGGCCATAGACATCCTGGACACTCACCTGTATGGCCAGTACGCTCCAGGAACCGTTGCCATCAAGGCATATTGGGAGAGTCTGTTTGAGCAGTTGGATGGTGTGGGCTCGCTCAGTGACGTAGCTCTCACTGCATACACTTCTTTCTTCCGCCTTGGCCTGAAAAGTCTGGTGACTACTCAGAGCAATGTGGAAGCCTGCAGGTGAACACTCTGTTTGGTTTTTATTTTTTGATATTGTAACTGATACAGCTGTGTTTGCTTAATACGTGTGATTTATTTATTGTCTCACTACAGGTTTGAACCAGTAGGCTTCCCTCTGTCTATACATTTGTACTTTTATGATGAACGTTTCCAAGGGTACTTGGTCCGTCAGGAAGTCCACACTGTTGGGTCGAAGACCAAGGAGACGATAGAGATGTGGGCAGTGCCTCAAGCCACACTTGTCCTTGAAACAAACCTTAAAGAGTATGAAAGGCTCAAGAACCTAGAAGTAAGCACTCTTTAAGCTGGAGCTTTTTCTTTTCTGCACAAACTTTCATTTTTGACCAAGATCAAGGCACCCCAAGAAAACTGCTATATGAGAAGATTCTCAGCCTGATATGTAAAAATTGGGGTTGCATTATCAGGCCATGATCTGACCAACACTGAACTTTGAAGTTTAATTAGTTTTAAAAATATATTTTAAGATCGGACAAAAGCAGATTCATCTCATCTTGTCTTCACATAAAATATGAAAGTCAAATACGGTGGCGTCATATACGCTTTCATTCTGCTGTGTTGTGTCATTTAAACCATTATAATTTCAGGACAGACACTGATTGTGTTTTTTCTTTCTCCATAACAGATCGGTACAGATTGGGATCCCAAAGAAAGGATCTTCCGTAACTTTGGTGGGGTGATTGGCCCTTTAGATGAACCACTGGCTGTCCAGAAGTGGGCACGTGGTCCAAACCTCACAGCCACCATTGTCTGGCTCGACCCAGCTCTGGTGGTCGCAGCATCTTATGACATTACTGTGGACGTGGACGCAGAGTACACCCAGTACAAACCGCCACTGCAGCACCCCCTGCGGCCCGGCACGTGGACGGTACGGGTGTTGAAACAATGGGAGCGCGTGGCGGAAGTTCGTTTTCTTGTCATGCCATTAACCTTCAATAATAAAGAGCCACTACGCAAAGGTGAGACACTGATTTACAGAGCTTGATTTTCATTCAGTTTTTGTTTGATGCTTGGCTGGTGCTGTTCTTTGATTTTCTTACTGTGAGAAAATCCCATGACACAGCCATATCAACGTTGCACTTCATTGTCCCTGAGCACTTGTTGAGGCTTGTTGGGGCTTTCAACCTCAAGCCTCTGGACTATTTTCTTAGTTTCAGTTTAGGTGTGACCAGCAATTATTCTCAGCACCACAGAGGTGTGATGAGAACTATAGTCTCAGCATGCGTTGTGATCAATAACCTAGCCCCTAGTTTTTAAAAATAGAGGGTTATGCAACATAAATGGGGATCAAGTCATTGTTAGTTTATTGGCCATGAAAAAAGTATAAAATATTGCCAGAACTATCCCTAAATGTAGCTCTTAATATACAATAAATCTGAAAAGTGTTGTTGATTGTTTAGAGACTCACTTCTTCTTGTGACTTTTCTTTGTCTGCAAATGTCAATGTTCCTTCCAGAGGAGGACAACTGGCTCCATGCAGGACCTCCCAGTAACTTGTACCTGGAGCAGAGCTTCCAGCAGCTGAGCTCTGTGCTGAAGCTGCCTCCCCAGGAGCCTGCCATGCAGCTGGCCCAGCGCAATGCCCAGTTGGTGGGCCAGCCTCTCGAAGCGTGGGTGGACAGCCTCGTGGGGACATACTGGGTTATAGGTGACGTGTGCACCACACAGACTTCCTCCTGCCCAGCTTTGGCATCTTGCTCCAAGACTGCCTGGAGCTCCTTGTCCCCAGACCCTAAATCTGAACTGGGCCCAGTCAAAAGCGATGGGCGGATCAGGTAGCCCCAAGAGAAGAGAAGCTCTAGACTTTGACACATGCACAGGAAGACCACAGGCAAGCTGGACCCACATCAGAGACTTCAAACAGAACCTGTGTGAACCAGATGTCGTCTCCGAGGTCGGCGAAGAGATCAACACATAAACAACGACAAGGCATCTTCCTGTACTGAGGAGTCGCAACATTCTCAGTGACGTGGTTTAAAAAAAAAAAAAAGCTTGAGAGACGAGGGTGTGACTGCTGGAAATTTGCACATAGAAGACTGCGAGCGGAAAAAGACTTGTATCACTGTCTGCTGAATGGGTACATGAATGCCAGATGTATTGCTGTGTTTTAAGCTGGCGCGCAGGTTTTCAGTCAGAGTCTGTCTGGGTCAGAGTTTGTTAATAAGCCTCTGCACATGTTTGAACTCTGTTTGCAGTTTTCCTCTGCTTTTGAAAAAGAAAATCAGGAAGCAGGTGTCAAAACTCAGCAGCGGGCTCTGTGCTGTGTTCTATCTTCATTTCAAGGGAGAGTGGAACCTCTGAATCACGTTATTGTGCTTATTTTGAAGCATTATTATGTAAGCATGTGGAACAGACAGATGAAGTGCACTTTACTGTAAGACTATGACACAGAGGTCACTTGGTTACAGTGTGAGGAGTAGATGTTAATAAGTCATGGAAGAGGTCACATCTGTTTTTCAATTATCAGTAGGCAAATAACTGCACCTCAATCCTTATTGCACAGACACATCAGTAAATACTTGGACTGTAACTTGCGTGAGGGAAAAAAATTCAGAAAGAAAGTGAGGTTCTTAGGTATAGAGTCTTATTTTTTATTCTGTTTACTGTGACATATCACTTTTGAACATTTCCTTTTTTTATTCATTTGTTGTCTCTTAGTTTCCTGAACTGGCTGTAAAGTGTTAAATAGTTTTTCCATTGTTGCAAAAAAAACCAACAAAAAAGCCACTCGATGTTGTTTTTCTGATCAGAGGAAGTGCCTAGACAGCTATCAACACTGCGGATAGCGAGGATGCATTAGAAACTCCTCTGAAATATTCGACGAAACAGCCTCAGCTCAGAAGACGCACAGCTTCGTGACAGCTGGGCAAACTTCCCCTGCTGGTAGCGATGTGCGACGTGCTTGAAAACTCCGTAACGAAGAGTGAGTGCATCTTCAGTGGAGGTTGTTGTGTGTGTGCTCTTTTCAGCGTCGAGACGAAAACAAAATTTTCTGAATTTTGGGTTGGATTTTGGCTCTACAGCCAGTTTAGCAAGGTGACGAAAATGTGGATAAACATTTAAAGGACAAGTTTAAGAAAATATATTTATTCGCTTTTTGCTGTTAGATGAGAAGATTGAAACCACTCTTGTGTTAGCTTAGCTTAGCACACACACAGAATCTACTTCAGACGCCTTTAAAGCTCACTTGTTTGAATAATCCCTTTTTCAAAATGAAGGGAATGCAAATGGCAAATCATTTTACGTGGGTGGATGGGTAACCAACCAGGAACTCATCTAAGAAGTACAACATACAACCTCCCATAAAATGAAAGTTTGTCATTTTGCTTCTGTATTGTTTTTGTACAGACTAAACAAACAAGAAACATGTTCAGTGAGCTGTGGCAGATGTATATTGTTACCTTCACAACAGGTCAAGGCTAGCTGCTCTTCCTCACTTTGTGCTACGCTAAGCTAACCAGCTCTAGGCAGTAGCTTTTTTCCCACATGTTACATGTATGAAAGTGGTATCAGTCTTCTCTCTGCAAAAAAGCAACGATACGTATTTCCTAAAACGTCAAACTTCTCCTTTAAATGCAGGCTTTTAGGTTGCAGACTATTATACCTCCTGTGTATCTGTTTATATGCAGTATTGTCACGCCTGTGTGTTCGTGTGCTCTGTTTGCCTCACAGGTCAAGTATTGTTCACGTTTAGTTTATTTAAGGTTCAATTCATTTAAACTCTTGACGTCCACCAACCAAAAACAGTACACTGTATGTTTGTGTTTTTTGTTCTAGTGTGATCCAGAGAATCTAAGCTGCCTTTATGTCAAAAAGATGAATTGTTTACTACGGGATAATAGCTTCCAGAGATGTGCAATTAATGCCTTTAATAGTGAAACCCCCTGTTTGTGTTTTAGGTCGGATTTTTACTTAATGCAAATTTTTGTGTTCTTAAACAACAGTTGGCCACCATATGAGTTTTCAAGTGACCTTGTTTAGCTTGCACAGTACAGTTGCTTCAATGAAGCCCCAGTTTAATTGGGATAAGAGAGCAGAATAATGGGTGTAACAGATGTTATTTTTCTATCCTGTTTGAGACAAATTATGTATGTTGTCCGTTCATCTCTCGGCACTCTAAACTATTAGAACTGCTGTCTAATTGTGTTACATTTCACAGTCCACCTGTTCGGTGTCATTTGAAGCAGACCTTCTGTGTTTTGGGAGGATGGGAGCTTGAGGTTTCCGTCCGTGCCGCTGTGATAAGCAGCAGCAGTGTGACTGGTGAGTCATCCAGGGGCTCTGTGGCTCTTATCTGAGTCTGGAACTTTAGCCTGTCACTGTAAAAGCCTGTGGTAATGCTCATAGGACAGACATCCTGACTGATGACTCAATAAAAAACACTTAGATTAAGGTCTTATTTCCTTTTATTCTTTCTCATCTTTCACATGTGTGCATTTGAATCTAGTTTAATCACGGTGCTTATTCTTGGGGGGTTTTCAATTGCAAATTCACTGTTTTCAATACATTTTATAAGAGCTTTCTCCTTAAAAGCAGATGATAGGACGTATTTATGAGGGGGAGAGGCGCTCTCCAGGGTGCTGAACGCCTCTTTGTCACTTCCTTGTAGGAAAGCTCGACATGGATCACTTCATAAATACTGTAAGCTACATTTTCATGTTAATCTCTAACCAAAACATATAAATATTTAGGTTTCTGCATGCTTTCCTACATGATTCACAGTGGTTTTTACGTATTTGCACGAGATATAACCCACACAGACATGCATGGATGGAGGGGTAGAGATAGTGACTGCACACAAAAGGTGGAGAGGAAGTTGGAAGGTTTAGTTCACCTGCAGGGTCTCCTCTGTTCGTAGCAAAAATTTGTAGAGATTTAAAAGGAACAGAATGTGTGATGTCTGTGAAACGAAGCCACAGGAGGAGGTGAAGATGGTTTCCTCGGACAGCGCGTACGGGTCGTCTGCCGAGGACGGACAGACGCCAACGTCAGACATCTTCCCTTATAATGAAGAACTAACACATAAGGTACATTAATAGCTCTCTTTCCGTCTGTCTTTCTATGTATCATTAGGGAGCCTGTTGCAGAAGACTTTGTAAATGACCTCATTATTTATGGATGTGTTTATGGTGACTTTTGTTTTTACTGCAGGAGAGTAACCGTACTTTACGTCATACGTGCGACAGGGAAAAAGCTGCAAACTGTGGGACACCAAAGTGCCATGGACATTCAAAAATGAAAATGATAAATAGATGAAAAATTCTGATCTGAAAAAAAAACATGATTTGTACAAATATGTAAGAAATTGTTGAAATTGCCCAATTTCAAAAGTCTGCTTTTGATATTGACATATTTTAATACCGGCAATGACTCTTTCATCTTGTGTCATGTTTTATTTAATAATGACACTTTTGTGGGAACCACTGCTGAAAATAAATTGTATGAAAGTACAAGCTAGTACAATTACTAACTCAAATAGGCACCTCAGTATACAGAAAGATTAACAGAGATTTCAGCTGTTTTCTACTTTTAATCATCACAACAATGCGTTAGTTTTGCTGTATACAGATAAACTATTTTTGCATTTGGGAGATTTTCGACCATCAGCAGGGCTTCAAATGTGTTTTTCCAGAAAATCTTTTCAGCATTTTGTTGACCTTTTTTTCACTTTAAAATCCTCACCTGAAGCTGTTTTGCTGCTGTTATTGATACAGCACATAATCCTCTGTGTGTGTGACCGCATGCCAAGTCATTCTTCACTTCGATGCACAATTACACTTGTTCACAGAACACACACAGAATACAGTAATTATGTGGTACAAGTCGTGTCCAGACAAAAGATCGGTTTTACTTGTTTTCCCTTATTATTGGCTACAAATTAAGACAAATAAAGGTTTGCTTTTTGTAAGACTCACAGATTGTATATTTTGCTGCTTCGTCCTCTCATGATTTGATCCCTCTCGATGTTTCAAGAGCCTCAATAATTTAATTACTGAGCATTTGAGAGACAAGTATTGCGTTGTGGTGAGCCGAGAACACTCACTAATTAAATTCGTGGTTGTATTTGTCATTTTGCCCAGTTTTAACCTGCCAGAAACTACAGTGCACGCAAGATACTGATGGCTCCAACTCTTTGCAGGCTGAAATGAGCCAGTTGGCTCCCAGCTCCCTAAATATCCTGTAAATTTCTAAGTCCTACATGAAAATTTGTGACAAGAAACTGCTTCGAGGAGAAACTAGAGAATGATAAATACGCACTCTAATGCACAAAAAACACCAGTTCAGTCTTATTTAAAACTGCTCAGTGTTATGCAAGACGGAAAGCAGGATGATGTGCTCGGCTGAGTTTTACATTAAGAATAAAGATTCTGTGACGGCTTAATGTAAAGTTGTCTGCAGGTGAAGACATTTGCAGCATAATTACATTGTCATCTCCTGGTTGGGAAAGACGCTGTTTTTAGGAGGATCCATACAGCACTGCTCGTATATGAGGACAAACCCGAACTCTCCTTTTTCTTAACTGGTAATTTAAATGTCTTAAAATAAATTAATGCTCTTAAAAATATAGAATATGTGTGAACACGGCAGTGCAAGAATTAGATGTCCAAAAATGAAAAAACCTGGTTATTTTTGGATCCACTGAAACATACTGTATATGAGAGTCTTGGGTTATGCTGATAAACTCATCATCTCATGTTGCCATGGAGACATCGTTAGCATCTCCACCCCTCTTGCCACGGCAAACCCCCACCTCCATCCATACATGCCATCAGTTCCCATGTGCTTAGTGGAGACAGGCTTCCTCTGTGTTGCTGCTCTCTTCTTCCAGCAGTCTTGAGGATGTTTACACGCCAACATCAAAATTTGATGTAACAGGCATTAAATAGTAATGTGTTGATTTCACATAATCCACCTAAACACTGCGAAACTTCTCCTTCGCAAAGAGTCGTCCGCAGAGAACCTCGCCTCCACTTTGCATCATTTGTACATTAACAACAATTTCCACTTGTTCTTACTCCCACCGTCTGCAGTCGACCTCTGCAAACACTTAGTATCTGCTGCTCAGAAATAAAAGCCTCATGTGTGAGGAATATTCATATTCTATGCGTTTCCTTTGAAAAGGTCACTGTTTATTTTTGCTGCATTTCTGAAGCTTTTTTCCATATTTGCAGTGTAGAGATTGCTGCTTTGCTCAGCGTTTTCAGAAGGCCGCATCCTCAAAGAGCCAGTTAAATCCACTTCGATAGCCTCATCCTGTGTATCTGCTCAAAGTGTCATCGAGTTGGGTTTTTAACGGGAAGAGCAAATCGAATGTGCAGAACATGAATGTCAGCGATTAAAGTAAACGCAGTGTGAGCGGCGGGGAGCTGCAGGCTGTCACTCTGCGCCCTATGTGGGCTCTTTGAGACTGCAGATAAGAGGCAGGCAGTGGAGTCGGGCCTGCAAATGGAGGGAGAGTTGTGTGTGTGTGTGTGTGCCGGGGAGGAGGGTGTTGAGGTGATAAATGTCAACAAAAGAGGCAAGCATCTGCTGCCAAGGAGCTCCAGGCCGGGTACACCACAGCCCCCAGTCAGACCGTCAGAGATCCATGGCGACGGGGCCAGTTGAAGTCCACGTCCAGAGCTGTGGTGGTCAGTCATGAGCCACCACCGCTCCGAGTACTTGTTAATAAAAGTACTCAGATGTATGCTGACTGTTGTACATGCATAGCTTAGGAGGCTTGAACTGAGGAAAGTGGACGACTAAGCATTCATTTGAGTAAGTTTTGTGATTATAGCAACTAGTTTGGAAGCTAGTTATGGTCCATCTATCAGTAATGTAATGTGCAAACGTCCAGCTTGCATACTCTGAGAACTGGGTTGAATATAACAGACTACCATAACTAGGATTATGTGATTAGATTGCAAAAAATAGGCAACTATAATCAGCCAAGATCACAGTTCAGAAATTGTGTAATTCGATTGTATTTACATTGTTTCCATCAATAAAATATGATGTAAAAATTCTGAAACTTTTTAAAATACCACAAATCAAAGTTACTTCTCTCAGGCTGTAAATGTTGTTAATGATTTAACTAGTACTTGTTTTGGTTTTATGCTACATCTGCAAATCAGCCTTGAGTGACGTGCAAGAAGGAGACGAGTGAGGGAGGCCACCAAGGCAGCATCATGGTGTCGGGTTGCTTCTCTGCAGCAGATGAAGGCAGCAGAAGGATTGTAGAGTTAAAGGGTAAACTGATTGCAGCAAAGTACTGGTTTAAAGACAACAAGGTGCACGTTCTGGAGTGGCCGAGCCCAAGTCCAGACCTCAATCCAACTGAGAATTTGTGGCTGGACTTGAAAAAGGCTGTTTACTCACAATCTCCATGAGGGATCCAACCAGACAGAGCCTGAACAATTTTGCAACGATAAATGTGAAATTATAGGGTCCAGAAGTGCAAGACTGACTGAGATGTATCCACACAGACTCTATGCTGTAATGGCAGCAGCATATCGTACTTGAGTTAATGTACTTTCCACTGCTGCTGGTGGATATGTTTAAAAATGAGCAGTGGTGAAAGAAGTTATCAGTTCTTGTACTTATGTACCAGTAACAATAACACAGTGTAAAAATACAAGTTAAAGTCCTGCATTCAAATTTTTACTTATGTAAGCGTGCAGAAGTATTTGCCTAAAGCACCAATTTCAGAATCATGATATATTTAAATTAGACTCGTCATTCTAATGTTGCTTCTGGTAAATGTGAAGCTGATATTGATACATTTATGGCACAGTCTTAATCCAACAGCAACACATTAAAATTTGTTGATTATTATATTTGCATCATTCAATGGAATATCAAATAACTGTAGTGGAAGCACAAGTATAATGTTTGGCTCTGGATTGTTGTGGGGTCGAAGTATAAAGTATCAGAAACTGAAAATACTCAAGCAAAGTACAAGAAGTGTACTTTAGTGCAGTACTGGAGGAGATGTATTTAGCTGTTTTTCCACCACTGATAGCGGTGGTTTGTCTTCCCCTAAAGGAGGAAGAACATCAACCCAACATGACATAGAGTTTCAGGCCCAAATGCAAACATTTTCCCATTATCGCTCCCAGGTCACCCGTCCACATTGTCCTTCCCTCTTGAAGACATTGAACCAACCTCCAGCTGTCACAAAGCATCACAGCAGACAGATCCGCAAACTGAGCAGCAGACGAACACATACAGTAACCTACGCTGTGTTCGGGCCTCAGGCAGCCGTGCAGCCTGGATCACTGATGTGGCCTCAATCTCTCTGCAGACGATCCTGGTGGGAGACAGCGGCGTGGGCAAGACCTCTCTGCTGGCTCAGTACGACCAGGGCAAGTTCATCGCGGGGTCCTTCACCTCCACCGTCGGCATTGACTTCACAGTGAGTCCACGCTTCCTCTCCTCCACACATCCTCAATTTGTTTTGGCTCACTCATCTTCCTGCCTTTGCTCACCCTTTCCCTGTGTTTTCTCCTCCCCCCTCTCGTTACACTGTTGACTTCACCCGGGTGAGAAGGACATGTCACGGCGATGGGCTGTTTGTGCTCAAGTTGTGACATAACAGCTGAGCAAATCCTCCCTGTTTCTGAGGAGTGTTTGGCTTCCTCAGTGTGTCAGTGAAGTGAATCAGTGGTGCTCTCCAGTGTGGGATGTTGCATTTTCTCACTGCATTCATTACAATCCGTAACACTCTGATCGTGGGGGGAGGAGTTGCTTGATAGAGGGTGCATTATTATGGCTAATGATGCCAATGCTATGATTAAATTACTGCAAAGAGACCACAACTAATGAATGTCATGGCAGCGGGCTGTTTGCTGCTGGATATGTGCAACAAAGCGGTTTTAAACAAGACTGATTTTATGCTTTGTGACAACTTTTTTGGGGAGGGGGGGTTTAGGCTGTGTGGCAAGTGGAGGCAAAAGCAGGAGAGATGCAAGGCCCCATTTAGATTTTTCTGCTGCGACACTGATAACTTTGGCTTTGTGTCATCGCCTTTAGTGCGGCGCTGAGGAGACAGAAATCTGTGAGAAGGTATAAAATTGGCTTTGCCATTTCACATTAGCATAAGTGCATGATTCAAGGTTCAAAAACCCTGCAGCAAAATGCACTGCGAAAAAACAAAAAAAGTAGTTCTGCATACGTCTGATGGATTTAAAGTCAAGGGAAAGACGGTGCCTGCAAAAAACGCCTTGATAATGTTTCTGTTGGTGTCTTCAGGTGTCACTTTGATAGAGTCTGGTGGAGATGATCAAAATGAAGTTCCTTGAAAGCACACAAGGGGAGAAACTCCTCCAGCCTTCATCCTTGCTGTTTCATGAGTTGTGCTTAGCCAGCTGGAATAAATTTTCACCTTCTATGTTTAAGTGTTTTTCAGCTTCTTTCTCTCCGTCTGAGATACTTTAGATGTGTCTCCTACTCGCTGCTTCCTTACAATAAATAATGAAGTAGAAAAACAGGCAGTTACAAGAAAACGCAGCATATCTGGGAGTTAATTTGCTGTTGTGACTGACAGCTTAGCTGATATCATCTGAAATGTTGAATTGACTCACCTTGTTCACAGCGCCTCTTTGAGCTCTAACATTTCTGTGACCCCGCTCAGAATGAAATCACTCACTCAGCTCCATATACAAATAAATGTTTGGCCATTATTCATGCCAGAGGGTGAGATGTTGCCCGCAGATGCCGCTGACAGGGAGTGATGAGTCCATGTATGAACAAGAGATTGCATGTCAGTTATATAACATAAATGATCTCTGACCGTGTCTCATTGGTCTTGTCTCCACACAAAGAGAGATTGGAGATGTTCACCCTGTTGACTGGAACACTAGGGGGAGACAAACACTGCAGCATTTTCAGACTTACTTGGGAGAAGGAGTCTCAGTGAAACCATTTTAGACATGTATGACATGCTAATTAAATGGTGGTATTTATAGAATCATCTCAACAAAAGGAGTCTTGGATGATTGTTGATTTGTCTGCTGTGAAGAGGGATAATTTTAGTAAATGGGTTGATGAGGAAAATAACCAAGGATTGAGAGCACTTTATGATGATATAAAATGGCTTTGAATGCATCTCGGTAAGACTGAATTAAAGGACGCGTAATTTGTGGGTAAGGATGTTTGGCTAAGGTTTGCGCACAAATGATGGAACAGCTTTACGCACGGATGTGTTCACCTCGATGACAGTTTATTCATCTTCCTGATCAAATCAATGTCATTTATAATTTAAACTGATGGGTCGTAGTTCATGTTCCTGCCTCCTTTCCGGGTGTGTGACTCTTTGAAGAACCTCTCAATGAGCACCACCTGTGGCAGATGAGTCAGCCATAAGCGCGACTGACCCCTGCAGCCACCGAGGGGACGGTGTCAGCATGAAAGACGCGCGGTCGCTCCTCCACTCCTAAGAAAATACATGCCGGAGCTGTCGACGTCCTCACACAGCCACTCAGTTAATCATCTGCCCACGCCAGGATGCACCGCTCCGCTCTGCAGATTCACAGAAATGTTTCCGCCTGTTTGTCATTACTGCTTTCTTGACTGCTGGATGTAGACGCTGAGGCGCCGCCGTCGCTTCTCTTCAAGTTTTGATCGTCGCTTCAGTGTTTTGACAGTGACAAGAAGGTGTGATTTGTGTTTGTGTTTTGTTTTGTTTTTTTTCCTTGGAAAGCGCCCAGTGATCATTTTTGTGCCCAGAACCAACGCAGTATGCGAGCAGAGGGGCTGGAGGTTGGCGGACACCGGGACTGAGTGCGCGACGGAGATCTCTCAGACACCGTGCGCGTCTTTCTTGGACACATCTCGGAGATAACTGTGTGTGCGGCTCTCGCAGCCTTTCTTGGCGTTGCGATGTCCACGAGAAAGACATCGTTGACGGACAAGCAGACTAAAAACGGCACGTCAAAATATGTGTTGGAGAGATGCGCTTCTATTAACGAGTATTATGATATTGCTTTCAAGGTGTGTATTTCCTTTATTGTCATGTGCGTTGGGTTTCTTTTCTTTCTTTTTTTTGTCCTTTCTTTGTGGTTCTTCTGGTGGAACAGGTGCGTAAAATTTACACTGTAGGTTTGGCACTGAACCAACTGGGTGTTCCTGCAGCAGCAACAACATGATTATTGACTCTTCACATCTGGAGAATGTGCAGCGCTCTCTGCTAATGTCAAGTGAAAACCATTAACTACCAGCTGATTGGTGTGTCTTTATTCATTTTCCTTGTTAAACAGGCTATGGTCACTGTTTGTGTACTGTTAACCAAGCAAGTCATCGACCTGATGGTTTCATTTTGTCACTATGAAGTCTCTCTGAGCCTGTAAATGTCTTTGTCTGCCCTTACTGATTCAAATATTTGCCAAGGGTGGAACTTGTTGCTCCTTGCAAACCCTTCAATTAATTTCTTATTTTTTTTAAAGAAAAAAAAAAAAGGCTGCACAGGCATACATCTGACTATTCATTAAGAACAAACAGATGAAAAAGTTACATTTAAGTTTAATTGTATTATTATCTACATTTACACTTCATGTTTTATGCAGCTACGACTCTGAGCTGTGTGAGCAGCATCTGATATTTTCATCACATGCTGCTGAATTGATTGTATAATTGCACATCCTGTTCTAATTATATTGATTAGTTTTGGAGAAGGGATGCATGCTGGAAAATGAGAGTAAAATTACAGAGTTGGCTGCAAACATCTTGAATCCCCTCTCTAGTTCTGGCAGAGTGTCACATGTTGGTGGCGGATAAGTCCACGGTGGATCACAACACTGTCTGTACTGAACTGTAACTGTATTCACCACATTTTTTGTTAAGCAAGCTGACACATAATAACAGCTTACCAAAAGGAAATATTGCACAATATGGTCATCAGATAATGTGATCCCATTTGTGAAATAGTCCTTCTCGATTACAAAATAATTTATGCAACACATCTGTCAGCTTTAATTTCCTCTTCAGGGTGTTTTTATGTTCACTCTGCCTTTATGTGTAGGCTGTCAGTGATGTCTTTGACCAGCTGTAACCTGTTGTCTTCTTCTCTGGTGGTGGGTTTGCTCCAGGTGATGCTGTTGGGAGACTCAGCCGTGGGGAAGACGTGCGTCTTGGTGCGCTTTAAAGACGGGGCATTTCTGGGAGGCAACTTTATAGCCACCGTTGGAATAGACTTTAGGGTGAGAGAGATGCTGCAGAGCAGTCCTAGTCTCACTGAATGAGTCATTGTGATGTTCATTATTTCTGTGTGTGCCATTAATGGCTTGTTGTTTGTGTTATATTCCTGTTGAGGAAATATTTTACATCTGAAAAACAATCTAATGATATTTACAAAACACCAAGAGATCCATTTGCGCGGACTGACATCGAGCCAATTATCACCTAATTTCCACGATGAGCTCTTCATCATTCTGCGATGATGGCACCCAATGTACGAATCCTCTCACCAATCAGTCAAGTTCACAGACCACTTGTGCTGCTAGGCGCCGTGGACGGCCTCATAAATGTCTTGGCAGATTCCTGCCCACGTCTCTGTCTCCTGGAAAGATTGGCTGCAGCTCTGCTCAGTCCTGAAGGAGTCACCCTGCTGACAGACGTGCACCTCATGTGCACACACATACCCACACAGTGACTGCTGCTGAATTTTAAACACATTTCTACTGTAAATCTTCCTTTTACTGGCACAAACAGGCTGTTAGGAACAAGTGGACAGGCTCCCCCTCCTCAACCTCCCGTTTTCCTCCAATCATAGCAAAACACACACTAATGACAAGTCAAGTAAGAGTGGCTGGTTTGAGGAGGAAATTGTGTTGCATTAGCCAAAGTGATGCAGTGCGTTCTTTGAATGGCAGTGACGGAACATAATGGATGTCTGACAGATATATGGACACTCTCTATTCAGAGGCATGAACATTTCACTTTGTCTCCACTTAAGTGAAAGCAACAGGTACTGTGGCTAGAATGAATTCATAAAATGCATTAAAAAAGACAAGTGACAATGGATTACACATGCATTCATTAAAAAACAACAACAAAAAACATGATGGATTCAGTGTCACACTATTCATTCAGAATGGCTGGTGATAATGTAAGCAATTACCCTTTGTGTTTGTTTATGAAAAGGAGACGAAAGCTTCCGAGTAATCTGAGATAACAGTTGAGTCAATATGCTGAGGTCGTCCACTGTGCATGGATAGGCAGGCAGACTGTTGTGGCAGCTTGTAACATGGCCGGTCTATTTTCGGCATGCTTCCTTGTAGCAGTTACTCAGCATGCAGGCTCCTCTCACGTCATAATTGGGGGAAAAATGGAAACCCATGGCAACTAATGCAGGGGTTGAACCATGTCCATTCTGCCAAGGCTGAGGATTCAGCAGGTGGCAGCTCGTGTTGCCAGTGACGGCTTTGCACATGTCGCAGTGGTTCCTTTTGTTACTGTGCAGCTTTTTCTGCATTTCTTTGAGGGCTTGTTTTTGCTTTTTGGGCCGGAAAAGGCAGGGGCTGTTTGTGATGACCTGTCACTGACACAAAGCTATGAAGTGATTCAGGAAGTGCATTTGCTAGACTTACTTCCTCTCCCTGTTTGGTGGTTGTTGCTGTGCAAAGTTGAAATATAACTGTGGCCTAGTTAGTTGCTGCAGGTGAGAGTAACATTTTAAAAAAAACCTCTAAATAGTCCATGAAGCAGTCCATACAGGTGGCACATGGATGTTACCTTGCTGTTGTTGCCACCTTTGTCTTCTACTCTCAGATTTATTTATTTTTTGTTTGTTTTTCTCTTTCTACATATTGAACAGTCACAACACTGAGTCTTTTTTAGGTGAGGTACCTAAACTATTTTAGACATGTCTTTGCTCCAGAAAATCAGAGGGCACCCCTACGGGGCTGCAGGAAATTAACGGGGGAGTCAGTTGTTATGCTGCCAGTCGTCTTTCTCACTGTTGTGTAATTAAGTCTAATCCCAGGACCTTGTTGTTGTGTGGGTGTTGCAAATTACTTTCTCCGCCAGCATTCAAAGCCACTTTTAGTTGCCTTGTTTCTTTTGCCGCACGGCGAGTCTCTGAGCTTTTTTAGTCTGCTGTGATGTTCGTCATTCTTTTCTGTGCCACGTTCACAGCACTCCAGCCTCTCAAGCATATGGTGAACTGTCTCTCACTGCTCTTCTTGTTTCCATAGAATAAAGTGGTAGATGTCGACAACTTTAAAGTCAAACTCCAGGTGAGAGCATGCACCCTTTTTGTAAGACAATGTCTACATTTCAGATCAATCTTTGTCAGCTGTTGGTTAAAAATATCTGTGAGGTAATTTCATGAAATGGTTAATCCAGATATGCTTTAAATTTAACTGTAATTGTTGCCATTGCCAATCCAATTAAAGCCTGATATTGTGGCAGTATAAAGGACTCTGCAGGGTTACGTGCCAACAGCATGCTGTTAATCTAAGGCACATACCCATCTATCATCATGACCTGTTCATTCAGCTCTGAGTGGGAGGTGGCAAAATTAGATTCCTTTGCTAGCTTGAGTAAATCCTCAGCTTCTCTTGTCTTGCACGAGCCTCGCACCTGATAGAATCCTGTGATTAATTCCAAGACAGACTGTGGCACCATGAGCTGAAACTGTCCTGCAAAGAGACGTTACTACAGGAAATCTGCAGTTGCAGGAAAAGGGTTGTAGCAGGAGGATGGGCTGTCATATGTTCAGTTTTATATCTTCCTGGAGAAATTATTTTACTCACTGACATTGTTAGTCTACTATTCAGGCTACCTTTTTTGCTTACTTTTTAATTTTTAATTTTTTTTTTTTACGAGTTTAGCTATTTTTATTCTCTATAATACAGATTTAGGAAACAGGATAGGGGCTTTTGGAAGAAAAAAAAAGCCTTAGCAGTTAGTTGTTTGATTAATTTCAAGCTATTTTGTTTGACATAGCCTAATAGCTAGTGTTTGGCATAGCTTTTTTTATGTGTTTAAACTGAAGTTAACAAGTCATATTGTGGTCTTAACTAAATTTTGACTAAATGTGTAGCTTAATTTTGGCTTTATAGGGCAGAATAACATTACAGTTTTACTGAGGATGTTCAGTTTGCAGAATTAGCTGCTAAGCTAGGCTAGCTAGCATAACTAGCATTACTATTATTTATATAGGATGAAAAACTGAATTACTAAGATGTAAGTTTATTGCAATTGATATATTTTAATTACAGGAAACAACAGAAGCATAACAAGTAAAACGAAGTGAACAATAACCTTTAAGTGTAGCAGCACGAATTAGCCTACCTAAATTTAGCTTTCTTCTTTCACCTATTTGGTTTATTTTGTGTCCGTATCAGTGTCATATGAAAGAGAAAAAAAGAGTAAACAATCCCTGTTCTGACTTAACTTAATTTTCACTAAATGTGTATCTTAATCTGGGCTTTATAAGGAAAGACAGTATAGCATTTGTTTCAAGGAGATTCAAGATGTACAGTTTTCAGATGTAGCTGCTAGGCTAGGCTAACTAGCTGAACTAGCATGGCGAATTATTTACGTGGGATAACAAACCGAATTACTGAGATAAATAGAGTTCAATAAAATTAATATATATGTCAATAACTGGAAACCGGTAGAATTTAAAAAACAAAACAAAAACACAACAACAAAAACTTTTAGCTTTAGCAGCAAGCTTTAGCCTAACTTATTTTAGCTCTTTTGGTTTGCCTGTTTGGTTTGGGTGTTGTCTATTAGCATAACATATTTTAAAAACAAAAAAAGTAATTTAGGTGTTCGGTAAATGTTGACTAAACCTTTAACTCAATGTTAGCTTTACTGGGCAGATTGATGCAGGATTTGCTACCAGGTGATTCAAAATGCTTGATTATTTGGACTAGCTGCTAAGCTAGGCTAACTGCCAGAATAATGGCATAATTCTGTACGATAGCAAACTTAATTATGAAGATGTAGATTGAATATAATTTAAATATTTCAATTACAGGAAACAGCCAAAGCATAAAAAATGTTTGCATGCATTTAATTTATTTTGGTTTTTGTCTTTTGTTAGTATTGTATATATATATATATATATATATATATATATGTCAGATTGGGGTCTGAAGTAAAATTGGACTAAAAACAGTTACTGCATTCCAGCCTTGTAGAACAGTATAATGTTATGTTTCTGCTTTAGTATTGTGGGTTTACTGTGAGGATTGTTGGGGATGTTTTTCCATGCTGGCTGCTGTGTAATTACGTGGTTTTCTTGCGCAGATCTGGGATACAGCCGGCCAAGAGAGATTCCGCAGTGTAACGCACGCCTACTACAGAGATGCCCAGGGTAACCTTTGCTTTTTATATTCCACTTCCTCATGCTCTCTCTGTGTGGGAAGTTCCTAGTGTAGGTAAAGGAGCAAACTGGCTCCAACATGTGCTTTTCAATTATGTGCAAAGAAAACACATGCTCATGCATGAATGAGTGTGACACCTGCTCTTCTATTTCCTTTTACAGCTTTACTTTTGCTTTATGATATCACCAGCAAGCCATCATTTGACAATATCAGGGTAAGACGGTTTTGAACTCACTTCTTTCTACTTTCACTCTCTCTTACCCCGTCTCTTTGTGTCTGCTCTCTCTTCATTTTCACTTCCTCAACCTTCTCAGACTCAACGTGACACTTTGTCTATTTGCATGCAAAACATTATGGAGGCCACGAACATTTTCTCACGGACCTCTTTAGAAATTACATGATGTTGTCGTTTGCTTGGCTGCACTAGTTTCTGTAATGAAAAGCAATAAAAGTGTCGAAGGATAAGAGTGACTCAGTGTCATTGTGATTTATTGGAGCACTTTAATAATGCACACCTCGGGGGGAGGGGGGGAGGAAAATGCCTTCAAGTGGGGATATTTGTTTTGTTAATAGACCAATCTCTCCGTCTCATCCCCTCCTCATCTTCTCTACTTTTGAAGGCTTGGCTGACTGAAATACACGAGTATGCCCAGAAGGATGTGGTCATCATGTTGCTCGGCAACAAGGTGAGCATTGCTTCCTTTTTGTCGTTACATAAAAGATCGGGAGGATAACTGGTCCCTTAGCACAATTTTTAACACGCTCTTATCGCACCCTTGCAGACGTGAATGCTTAAAAGCCAGAAAATTCTTCCACCGTGCTACATGTGCAAGACTGCAAAGTCTCTCTCTCTTCCTGTGACATTTACAAGTGAAACGTTATCTTAATTGTGTTTGTGTGTCTTCACAGAACTGTGTTTTTAACGTGCACGTTTGTCTGTGAAACCAGAGTTGGTCTGTTTACACAAGTGCTGCCTTTGAATCCACACATTTATTCTTCTTTTTTTTTTTTTTTTTTTTAATCCATCACCCAATGTTATTTCATCACTCTGACTGGGAGGGATGACTCCAAAACACTGTCTCACTAACTGCTGTTCATTTGCTTCAAGCCTCCCCATGCATGAGACATTTTCTGTACAGTGCTGCTGGTGATGTAGAGAGAAATGTTCATGTCTCATTGCAACCAGCAGTCATTGCTAATATATCTAAAAGCTCCCTCTGGTGGCCCAGAGAGGACTCACTTGTCTCAGGGGTCGTGGATGTCACGTAGCTGCAGCTCAGATCATTTGCTGTGAACGCGGCAGGACTGGCAGCATCAGTCTGTGGGAGCGCTGCTCTTCTGCTTTAGGTGGAGTTTCTGACATCTCATCAGTATGAAGGAGCTGAGGGTCGGCAGCTGGCGGCGGATGAGAGGACGCGTGGGCCTGACACGCCGGTGCATCACTGTAGCTAATGGCATGGCCAATCTGTGACCCCTCACCTCTGCTTGTTTTCTCTCCTCCTGTCTTGCAGTCAGACATGGCTGCAGAGAGAGTCGTGAAGACGGAGGAAGGAGAGAAGCTGGCAAAGGTAATGGAGGATGTCTTCAAGTGGTTATTTGCTCGACAATGGGCACTCTTTCTAATGTTTTTTCCATCTTAGGAATACGGAGTGCCATTTATGGAGACCAGTGCGAAGACAGGAGTCAATGTGGATCTGGCTTTTCATGCTATTGCAAAGTAAGTTTCAGAGCTGCTGTGCTCAATATTTTATATTAACACTGGATGAAATGACAAGAAGCAATCTAAAGGGAGCCAGTTGCAATGATGAGCCCACATTAGGCTACAAGGCTATCATCCAGCTCCTCAGTCCTCCTCTGCACTGCTGAGCGCTGGAGCATCTTTAAGCTGATAGTTTGCAGATTTATTGTTTTGGTTCTCTCTCACCATACTTATAACCTTGTCTCACAGAAAAGGCACCAATAAGTCTGCTAGATGTGTAAACAGCCAATTTTTTGTTTCTATGACAACATATTAAGATTATGGTATCATTGGTGTTTACAAGTTGTTGCCCTCAAATGATAAAATAAGAGGTTTAAGAGATGCTACAGTTGCCAATATCCTGAACGTTTCATACTTTGTTTGCAGTGCTATTCATTTTTCCATTAAACATTTGATTCTTGGATATGGATTTTTAGGGGATCAGATATAAGACATACCCTTTGTGTGCTTTTGATTTGCTGCAAGGAGAAATAATGCACCACATTCAATTATATTTTTAACAACTTGGTGTAAAAATAACCTGCACAGAGCAAATCCCAGCAGCCACTTTATAAAGTTTAGTGGGGAGTCTTCCTAGAAAAGTGTAGGCTTTCATAGCAGCTTTTTTAATGCTCATAGTTTGAGAATAATAAGTTAATTAATCAAACATGGGTAAAATGTCAGAGTGCGCCTTGTAGTGTATCAAATGTTGTATTGTGGTCACAGAACAGCTGCTTAAATGTACTGGTGCAGTAATTACAGGCAGAGATGGGCTTAGCTTATTCAAATGTGTCTTCCCCACCTAATCAAAAGTTCGAATCGCACAGAAAAATATCACTAACTTTTAATTGGGTGGGCATTGGCATCTCCAAATTCACCCACTGCAGAGTGTCTCTTGGAGCATGCAAAGCAAGTAAAAGCACAAAGACTGCTCGGGAAAAATCACACAGTCAAATGCATTACATGCTTTAATTCGTGTTCAGATCGAAACAAATAAGATTTCTAAAGGTTAGTTCAACTCTGAGTTTTAGTTTATCACGTTTATTTGTGTGAAAATGCTAATCCTAAAGGAGGAGATGTGAGGATCTGGCTTCAGACCAGCAACACTCTGGTGACTCATCCACTTTGCTAACCTTCTGCCCAAGTTGCCCACCTCATATTTCCACCTGCCCACCATCATATAGCAGCTAGAAGCAGCTCTGATGTGTCACAACTTGTGCATCTGACAAAACACTGCATGAAGCTGTCTTTTAGAAATACTGGTTAAATGTGATTAGGAGCAAAATCTGAAAGAGGAAGGTGTAAAGTTTTTACTTTTGGAGGTATAATGAGTCATTCAGATGTCTTTCATTCAAGGCATCATAGTTTGTTTTGCTTTTTTAAAATACAGAACAAAACCGAATTCTTACAGATTTTGCTTGGGGATAATACAGAGAAGTTATTTTCATTATCTCATTTCTGTGCAGTCGTGTGCAAGCGATTCCCACAGCAAACGTTTTACACTTCATAAGCCGCGTCTCCTTTTTAAAGAAGAAATCCTCTCCAGTGAGAAAATTGATTTATCCACAAACTGCATTAAATTGTGCAACTTTCTCTGTTTTGTAATAGAAAAGTTGAAAAACAAATGAATTCAATTTAGCTCAGGCCTCTGGAGTAATAAATGCTGAGAATTGAGTTATTGGAGTTTGTGTTTTAATCTGCTTTGCGCGCACACAGCCGACTCGTTGTAAACGAGTTTAGTCCGCTGTTGTTTTCCGGGTTGTGTGTTTTTCTGCTTTTCTTCGACTTCGATGCTTTCAAGCCCCCGCCTCGCTCCTGCAGCTAATGCACGCTAATTGTTTTAAGCTAATTTGGGTGTTGGTTCCCGTTGTCTCGTGATGGGACTGAGGCGCCCTGTGGATTCCAAACATCAACTGTGTAATTTGTGTTTTTCACTGACTGCCTTGTGTACACACCTTTCTCGCTGAATGGCAGGAGCTATTGATGAAGCGCATTCCCAGAGCTGCACCAGGAAATAATGCTGATGATTTGTTATCTTCATGTGGTGGCAGGTTTAAGTGGAAGTAAATGATATCACGCCAGGAGCATTTTGATAAAATCTCAGCACACAGCACTCCTGCTCTTTTTTTTTTTTTCCTCTTCTTTTCTCATATTTCTTGATTTGCTCGCCCTGTCTGTGCTCCCTCCCACACATCCACCCCCTCTGTATCTAACTTCCAGTGTCTCCCTCTCTTTTTCTGCCAGGGAGCTGAAGCACAGAGCAACGCAGCAGCCGAACGAGCCCAAGTTCCAGATTCATGACTACATCGAGTCTCAGAAGCGCAAGACTGGCTGCTGTGGCCTCATGTAGCTGATGCTGAATGCCAGGCAGAGAGAGAGAGAGAGAGAGAGAGAGAGAGAGAGAGAGAGAGAGAGAGACATGCATAGATAAGGAAAGATGGAGAAAGGAATAGAGGGAGGGAGTGGGAAGGAGGTAAAAACGTCTGCTCTCTCTTATGAAAGCCAATCCCAGCACCAAACCCTGAGAAGCAGACGCCCTCGTCTTCTCCACTGAGCTTTTGGCTGAATGAAATGTGGACTGACTGCCATCCCTTAATCTGAAATGTGAATTTAAATCTTTTATGTCATGCGTAGAACTGTTTGTGGTCTTTGTGGTGACAGTTGTATCAAACTACAAGTCAGGAGTTACAATCTGAAATGCTATACCCATCTGCAGGGACAAAACACATTTATCATTCTACTCTTGATAAACGGCAGGTTTATACGAGCCATCAGCGTGACCGTCTGTGTGGATATAGCATTTTGCCATGCAGCTCTTAGTTTGTTCCATCCCAGTTTTACCAGGCTGTGAAATGAACCCCTTTTGGCCTTACAGTCTTCATCTTTAATCCTTGAGAATTTAGTGTGTTTGAGAAGTGGACTTTAGTCTCACAGTCAGATTGTAGCTAAAATGATCCCGTCTGTTCACATGTGTACTGCTGTTAGATAGAATAAAGCCAACGTTTTGAGGGCGCTCACCCACTGTGTGTCTGTCTGTACATTCAATTCAGGGCAAGTGAAACTTCATCCAAAGTACTGTACATGTAACTGTGCTGGAGGATCATCCTGCTGTTGCACCAGGCCACATACAAAGAGATTATTTTTTACTGTCTCCATGTCTTACAGATTCCTCAGCATGCCGTTTGCCTTTTTGACCATTCACACAACAACAGCACAGCACTCCCAGACATTGTTGTCTCCTTTTAATGATGGATGTTGTTGTCTAGACTGTACCAGAGCTGTATTCGTTCACGCACCGCATCGTGTAAACTCGTTTCTTTGTACAATGTTCATTATGAATGTTTGCTTGTCAAACCTGCTCAATGTCACGTTTGTCCCTCTTCTGAGGCGTCACAGTGATCACAAAGTGCCATGAAAAAGTGCTTTGTTATCATACTATATATAAAAAAAAAGTATATTTTGTAATGTACGTGGCGTCGTTTTATTGTCTTGTCTGTGTTTCTCTGTGTGTGTTGGGGGTTTTAGAGAAAAAGGGGTGGAAGTCAGTGATGGATGACAGGATGCGCTGAGGTTAATAAGCCACTGTGTGGCAGCAGCTGCCCTGTTTATTCTCCAGTGTGACCCAGTAGAAAAAGTAAAGTGCTGTATCAATTAGACAAGTAATAAATGTTGATGCTACACTTTAGAGTGTATTTTATACCATTATATAAGCACACTGTTTTTTTTAAAAAGGATGCACAATGTCTCTATCGTGGTGTTTTTGTTCATGCTGTGCTTGCAGTGAGGTTGCATTAGTGTGCTGGGTGAAGTTGGAGGACATAATATACCTTGAGCATATTCATGATTCACTGTACACCTGAACGCAGCTCGCCTCTTCTCCCACTCACATCCATCCACAGCATGAGTCACGCTGCAGACTCACTGAGGAGTCTGTGCTTTTTCTGTGCTTCACTGTGAAAAAACAAACGTTCATTATTTGGATAAACTGAACTCCCTGCTGTGCGTGTTGGGGGGATCCTCTCGCTGTCTTCTTATCAGGTCTGGTAGTCTTCTCAGCTCACAAGTCAAATCCTGCCTGAGGTTTTTAGCAGCTTCCTATCAGGATTTATTTTCACTGTGCTGTCTCTCATATCTCTGAGGGGCCAGATGGGCTGTGGGGTGACTGGATCCAGAAAACTGTGGAGTTTAAAACTGATTGGTATCGCTGATAGGGGAGCAGATAGCCAGAATAGAATCTCTAACTGGAAAGAGAAAAGTGAAAGCAGGGCTCCCAAACCACATAATTTGTGCATAATTTAATTTGATCTAATCAGAGCTACGCCCGCAACTAACCGCAACTAAGTCTTACTTGATTACTGATAATTAACTTGGAAAAAATATATTGTTTCTAGCAGCAGTTCAGTTTGCTTTTCAGGCATCAAGGATGACGTACCTTAAAAAAAAGAAAAAAATCATCCTCCAATGTTATGAGATTAAACAAAAAAGTGCTTAAGATGATTTTAAAAAACAAGAAAATTAAAAAGGAAGAAAAACTGTAAAAATGTTCTGGAATAAATTATGATTTATGGCAGATTGTACCACAGTGGGGACAATAAATGTAATCTTGCATCTAAATAAAACTTTAAAACTATTTTTAACAGATTTTTAAAAAAATAATTTAGTCAGGTTACAGATTTTTCCTGTTTTGTGAAATTACAAATAATATCTAATAGAATCACATGAAAAAATCTTATATGACATATAATATTAAATAACATGATTTCCAAAACTATGAGTTATGTCCACATTAATTTAAAAATACAGGTCTTTTTTAACATTTGACAGTAAAATTTCAGTTGTTTTTAAACTGTATTTAAGTCAGACAGCAAAATGCTATTTTACAGATATTTGCCATAATCTAAAAGAAAAAAAAATACTGAGGACTGAAAGTAATTTTTAACCTTTTATATTACAGATTTTTACCTGTTTTACTGAATTAAAAAAAAAAATTAATTTACATGTTGACTGTAATAAACAAACTATGAAGTCCACATTAAATAGCATAGAGATACAAATATTAATTTATTCTTTTACAATATGTACCTGTAAAATTACAGTTTTATTTTATTCAAATCATACATTTTTAAAAATCATTATTGTAGATATTTGCTGTTATTTTCAGTTTCAGTATAACACTATTTCTGCGGTTTTTAACATGCTTTTTCTGGCACCTTTCAGGCTTGTTTGTTTTTTTACAGATTTAGTTTTACAGTGTAAGTCTGAATGTCAGAATGCTGTCACTGTAACCAGCAATGCCAGGTATCTCACGTCTAAATATTGGCAATCAAATGCTTTTAACTGTGATCAAAATGATTTAGAAATCTGGAAAAGTCTCTAAATAACGGAAAAAATCAAGTTTAAAGGGGATTTGTTAGACTGAAGTTTTTCACAACATGACTTCAACGTGGTCATGTTTACTGTGTGTGTTTGAGGGCTGATCAGGACTGATTTGTTTTAGTCTTCATCATCCTGATTTATCTTCGTGGACAGCCTCGGTTTGCATGTGTTCCTCCCCGCTCAGTGTGCAGCAGCAGCCGGCGGGGCCGTTCCGTGGACGCGCCTCCCTCTTCCTGAGTGGCTTTTCTACTTTAGCAGCAGCTCTGAAGGGCAGCCACCGCTCACACAGTTTAATCAGCCTCAGCTCAGTGTCCGGGTCAGGACTTCTCCGAGCTCTCAGCACCGCAGGAGACACACAAAGGAGGACCGGACCAGGTGGGACGCGCTGGTTTGGAGAGTGGCACCAACGCCTGGACGCACCGTTTCCCACGGACTGATCTCCCCAGCAGGGCGGGGGTTGGTGTGTGTGTTGGGTTTTTTTTTTTTTCTTCTTCGGCAGGGGGACCTTTCATCCACACCCCCTCCTCAGCAGCATCCTGAGGAGCTTTTCTGCTCATTTCCACTGCGACCGAGCAACAGGTTGAGCAGCAGCAGCAGCAGAGCGAAGGCGAGTGAAGCCACCATGCCGAGCAAAAGCCAGTTTCTGCGGCCGCGGCTGTGCACGCTGGAGAAGGGCGACAACGGCTACGGCTTCCACCTCCACGGGGAGAAAGGTAAGACGGGCCAGTTCATCCGCCTGGTGGAGCCCGACAGCCCCGCCGAGACCTCCGGGCTCCGCGCCGGAGACCGCCTGGTGTTCGTGAACGGTGAGGACGTGGAGAACGAGAGCCACCAGCAGGTCGTGTCCCGGATACGCGCCACCGTGGGCCGGCTGGAGCTCATCGTGGTGGACCCGGACACGGAGCAGCTGCTGAAGAAGCACAACATCAAGTGTCTGAAGGGGTTCGTCACCGACGGTGTCCCGTTACCGTTCGACGAGGAGGAGGAAGAGGAGACTGCGGCGGCGGAGGAGGAGGAGGTGGTGGTGGTGCAGGCAGCGCGGGACGAGGACGAGGAGGAGGAAGAAGAGGAAGAGCCGGCGGCGGTGGTTGTGGTGGTGGAGGAGGCGCAGGAGGACGCGGAGCAAGACGGGACAGAGAACGGGGATGAGCAGCAACCCAAGCGGGAGGAGGTGGAGGAGGAGCGGGAGGAGACACCCAGGGAGTCCACGCCGGTGCCCGAGAGTAACGGAGAGATCCACGGACACGTAGAGAAGAAGCTGAGCATCAGCTCTGACAAGGTGAGGACCGAAAGTTTCTGCAGCATCTATCTTGATAAAGTCTTTCCTCCTTTTCTACACTTGTTTTGGTGTTTGATTCACTTTAATTCTCTCACAGTCATGTGTTGCTCCACATGGTGTTGCTGCTGCATGTCTGATCACTTCTCCACCACTTCAACATGATCAGATCTGATTGAATTGACATTAACAGTGTCCTGCTCATCTATGGTTACAGTACAAACAGAGGCTGTTGTGTTCAACGGCACCAATGAACAAGCCCAACATGAGACTGAAACTGGGCTCAAAGGAGAATTCTGACATTTTTTATGGGATTTGCAGCAGTTTCTGGGATCTTGCTTTCTATGGTGATGACTCTGAGCCAAGATGATGCAGATACATGTGTTTTAGTATTTTACACTGATTTTCTCAAATTGATTTCACAAGTCCCCGTCTGTCTTGCTTTTTATGCATATTGTTGTTGCTGCAGGGCTGACCATTTCTTCAGATCAGATCTAATCAGATCTAATTTACATTAAAAGTGCTGATAGTGGCTTTAGAAGTGTCCTGACAGCCATAATGACAGTGCAAACAGGGACTGCTGTTTTCATTGGCAACAATGAAAAGTCAACAAGCCAAACATTAGACTGGGTTCAAACGAGAATTCTGACATTTTTGTAGGATTTACAGCAATTTCTGGGATCTTGCTTTCTTTGTTCATGGTTGTGATTTTTTCCAGAGGGCCCTTGATAGAGACAAGATGGTGCATATACACTTGTTTTTAGTATTTTACACTATTTTTTCTCAAATTGATCTCACAAATCTCTGTCTGTCTTGCTTTTTATGTGCATATTGTTGTTGCTGCACGTCTGATAATTTGCGCAGCACTTCAGCGTGATCGGATCTGATTAGATTTACAGTAAAAGTGCTGATTGTTGCAACAAAAGTGTTTTGCACATCTATGGTTGCAGTGCAAACAGATGCTGCTAATAGCTCCTTGTGCATACTTTTAATGGCACCAATGAAAAGTCAACAAGGCAAAAAAAAATACACTAAACTGGGCTCAGAGGAGAATTGTAACATTTTTATGGCCTTTACAGAAATTTAATTGGCTCTTGCTTTCACTGGTGTTCAAAGAGACCTGGATGAAAACAAGATGATGCACATGTTTTAGTATTTTAAACTATTTCTTCTCAAATTGTTCTCACAAGTCTTAACCTGTCATGCTTTTTGCACATATTTTTATTGTGCAGGTCTGATCATTTGTTCACCACTTGATCAGATCTGATTTGATTTACATTAAAAATGCTGATAGTGATATTAAAAGTGTCCTGACAGCTATAATTACAGTGCAAACAGGGACTGCTGTTTTTTGTTGGCACCAATGAAAAGTCAACAAGACTGAGCTCAAAGGAGAATTCTTTTTTTATAGGATTTGCAACAATTTCTGGGATCTTGCTTTCTTTGGTGATGACTTTAAATCGTCTAAAGGGACCTGGATATAGACGAGATGATGCATATACACTTGATTTAGTATTTAAAACAATTTTTTCCCAAATTATTGTCACGACTCTTGCATTATCTTGCTTTTTGCACAGATTCTTGTTGCTGCATGTTTGATCATTTGTGCAGCCCTTAAACATGATATGACTGATTTAATCTACAGTTTTAAGGGCTGATGGTGGCATTAGAAGGGGCAGGATGTGTGCTGTGTGTCACCATCATGGGCATCTGCAGCCACATGCAGTGCTGCCAGGTTGTGTGCAGGGTCAGCTGCCTGCACATGTGCTGTGGCTGCTCGGGACAAACCTGGTTCAACTTTGGCATCATAAAACCAGGGGCCAAACTGGACCATGAGCCCTCCTCTCTGTCAGTCTGTTGCTCAACTCTCTCTCTTTGGATATTTCACTTGTGTCTCAAAGTGCAATGCCTTGCAAACGTGAGGCCACTCTGCCCTCTGTTATTGCAGTGACACGTTAAGCATTAAGTCAGCGACAATGACAGGCTGCATGTCTGCGCCAAAGCAAGCACAGCAGGAGGAAAAAAACTGTGCCTTTGTGTTGTAAACTGTAGAAAACAAGCAGAACAAATAACTTACATTGCTAAAGCCTCCACAACAAACAACAGGAAATAGTTTGGTGCCCTTTTTTTTTTTTTTTTTTTTTAAATCTCCACAAAAATGAATCCCACTAAGTGATTTTTTTCACCCTTTGATCTTTGTCTGTTAAACATTATGGGCACATTCTCACTCTGCAGCAACCACTTGTTGGTGTGTTTGCCCTGATTTTCTCGCTGTCTGTCCATGTGTGTGGAGCAGCAGAGGGTCCCCCCAGTCTGGAACATCTGTGTCCTTCGTCCTGCATGTTTACCCCCGAGGCTGTTTGTGTCCCAGCACTCATCCCCAGAACATTACTGTAGGTGGCAGCCAGCAGCGAAGAACCTGCTGCTCAGGGTTTATTTTTATTTAATGTGATACTGATTGATCCGCAAACATCATTTGTGATGATTTCCTGAAGCTGACAGGAGGTCAAGCTGGTGGTGACCTTAAGGTTAAAGCGATAAATGAAGCAATTACGTTTTCTTTACGTTAATTTTTACACTGTCATGCGGATATGCTAACTTAAAAGATACAAATGCATGATTGTCTCAAAAAAAAGATGATTTATCAGAGTAGTTTAACTTTAGAACCCGCTCCAAGGTGAAATTGATGAATGTGTCATGAGTGTCACATGACCTCAATCTGACCGAGAAGGTGTTTAAAGTTGATTTAACCTCTGAAAACCTCATATCTTTCTATTTAAGTTGCATATTTAGAAATGTCATCCATGAAAATAAGCTCTACCTGCCTTCAAATGGCTTAGATGTAACTCTACAATTACGCTTCTTCTAGAATGTGCAGATCCATCCACTCCCCACTCGCTGCAGCTCAAGCACACCAGCTCACCTATGACTTTGGTTAAGCAATATAAAACTACTTTTCCCTACTCAAAGGCAAATTGCAATTTTTGGAGTAATTCAACCAAACCGAAAACCAATTCTGAAGAAGAATAATGATACAGAAAGCTCCACCTGAACAGTCGACGGGATTGGCTTCTTAAGTTTGTGACATACAAAGCCCTGAAAGTCTGACTCTGTGTTTCTGAGACTGGCATTGTAATGCAGCAGTTTTGAGGTGGAAATGTTCAGCCGGCACATCGACTGCTTCTAGGACAGAAAAAAACAACACATGAACCAGAAAGAAGATGAAAAAAAATACACAGTTTTCACCAGAGTGGGTCTTTAATTTGCAGAGGAGGAGACTGAAGGCCCTGAAATTAGTGTGCCTCTAGGATGGGGTGTTTTGTATTGTGTTTACTGAGATGTCAATATAAAACAGCCTAGATATTGTTCTTTAGTCTGAATAGAGATGAGTAATACTTTATGTAAATGAGTAAAAATCTTCTTGACAAGAATCCAACGTCGTCATTCTTCAGTCCGACGTCATCCCCCACCTCGCACCAGCTGTTCAGAACTCAAAGAATTTCAATATATAACACAGAAAACTTGATTAAATAAATGAAACTACTCCCAAAAGCAGATAATTGATAAGTCCATCCCAGCAACGTCAAAGAAACACCCAACTTAAACGTCACATTGATCCTCTAAGCCCGTAGGTGGCCACTTGCTGCTTTCTTCCATCCGTCTTGTTTTTTTTTTTTATAATAACAGTATAACTGCAGCTTTCTCATATCCAGAGCATGCAGGGCTTTTTGGAATCATGTTTCTGGTATTTAGGAGCTTTTTCTTTTTTTCTTTTTTTTCCTCACATGAAAATAGCAACGGCCCACGCTTGTGCACAGCACTCGAGCGGTGCCGGGTTCTGTTGTTTGTCCTGGGAATATACAGCAATTGTTCCTGTGTTTACTCTCGATGCTCTCCACAGATGGCCTAATGGAACTGGGGCAGTACAATTCACATTGGCACGCAACCCAGAGGGAAGTGGCGTCGAGACAAACAAAATCACTCCCAACAAACTCGTTTTCACCCTTTAGAGATGGAGAGTTTAAGACACGGAGCTAAAAAATCCAGTACGGGTCATGCTGGAGCTGTGAGCCCAATTGGGAATTTCTCATCTAAACAGAGGCACACACCAAGATTTGTGAGGAAGTAACTTAGGGACAGAAGACACAGGCTGAACGTGTGAGAGTGTAAATTGGGCTCGAGGGATGCAGCTTCAGATTCTGCTGTGTCTCAGAGTTGCAGTCGGAGGCACCTCAGGGTGTGTTTTTCATTGACTCTACTGTTTCTGGAATTTTCTTCCTGCATCCTGTCCGGCATTCCTGTGCCCGAGCCCTGTCGCCCAGCCAATGACACACACACACACAAACACACATAGAAAAAAAAACTCTCACAAAGCTCAAACACACTCATCTACAGCCTTGGGGAGACACACACAGCATTTGGTTTTTTGCAGTCGCGCTGACGTCTGCTCTCCGCCCGTCTGGCTTCATCTTTGAAGCGACACAAAAGAGGGTTCAAAGAGCGACGCCCTCTCCGGAAGCTGAGGATCCTCAGTTGCCACGGTTACCCCGATGGCGTGTTTGTGGGTGTGTGTGTAATCCATGTGGCGCTTGTGTGTACATATGTATATATATATATGTGTGTGTATGTGTGTGAAGATGGAGGTAGGCGAAAGTGAGAACGCAGAGGAGGTGTGAAAAAAAACTGGATGAGCAGTGATGAAGGTCAAAACATTCGAAGCGGTGCAGGAAAAGAAGAACAGCGGCTGTCGTCACCGCGACACAAAACACACAAAAAACACATAATCGGTTCCAAAGGTCGGTGTTCTATTTACCAGGCAGTAAAAGTTTTACTCTGCCATTGTGCAGTGCAGTGAAGTGTGCCGAGGATGTTCACTCTGAGCTCGTACGAAAAGACTTGGGTGGAGAAGTTTGTATCTGTGGCTGATGTCTGTTATAAGTGTGTGAACAGAAACAAAACAGGAGCTGAAACTATTCTTTCCTCTGCCATCGTATTTTGATACT